AGGCTTTGACATGTGTTTAGAGTTGTAGAATATTCCATTTTTTTAGAGATTGGTAACTCATGAAAATCTATCCTAGATTTAGAAGAAAACAAAAAAAAAAGGATTGGTTTTTTCAACAATATAAAACTGAGAATAGTCAAAAGTGAGATTTTGAAAAAAAAATAGATCCCTCATTTAAAAACATTTTCAAGATACCAGATTTGGAAAAATACAGTCGCTGGAAAATTGAGTGGTCTTGGAAAAATGATCAGGGTTCTAATGCAAAACATATTTTATAGAATTTTGAAAATTCAAAATTCTTACAAGAACTTGAAAAAAAAATCAATGGAGCGCTGACAAGAATCCTACATAAATTTTAGGATTGAATCCTCACAATCTCTCAAAAGAATTACAAGAGAGTTGCGGCGAGAACTTCAAAGAGAATTCCTAGGTGATTCTGAAAAGAATTGTAAGGGAATTGTGAGGAATAGCTGGTGAATTTTAAGGAAAATTTCAAAAGAAACATAAACAGAATATAAAGCTTTTTTCTGATAATAATTTTAAAAGAATACTGAGGAAGATTCACAAGATAACTTTATGCAAGATCCGAGAAAAATGCCGATGACATCGTGTCCTGAGATAAAAAAAAGCTTAATATTTTACATTCAATTCTTAAGCAAGTTTCACGAAAACTCAGCACAGAATTCCAAGGTATTCTGAGGAGAATTTCAAAGGATTTCTGAGGAGAGTTTTGTGAAAGGTCACATATATTTAAGAGCTGAATTAGCTATTTTTGATCTGAAGAAACATATGTTTGCTTGATTAAGCTCAAGCTATTATCCAATTTTTGTTGAAATATGTTAAGGTTTATTGATTTTTCCCGGTTCTCCCGTTAAATTCTCGACTTTTTCCCGGTTTTCCCGGTTTCTTTTGAAATTCTGTTTTCCAAACTACTACTTAATTCTAAACTGTTTTATCAACTTTTATACAATAAATTGTTCATGATATGTGATAGTTGGAAGAATGCGGTCTTCTGCAATATTGAAACACCAGCACTACAGTGAATTTTTAAGTTCACAATTTTCTCACTAGGCGGCTCTGGTGTTATGTGAAATTTGTGTACATTCAATATATATGCAAAAGGTATTATCCAGGCTATAAATAAAGTTACTGGTTTCTGTACTGTTGTTCAGGAGGCCAAGATCTTTTGAATCGTGGACAGCTTAGTCGGAATGGTGGATATAGTGTTCTTATACTTATGCTTCATGTACATGCAGGGTTGACATCTCGAGATCTTTGCTTGATACAAAGCTGCTTCTATGTTGTTAATGAGGCCACGACCTTTTTAATTGAGGAAATTTTAGTTCGGAATCCTCTCACTAGGTGGCACTATTGTTCTTATTAATTACGTGTAAATGCAGGGTCAACATCTCGAGATCTTTGCTTGATACAAAGTTGCTGTTTTATGCATTGTTGTTCAGAAGGCTAAGACCTTTTGAATTGTTGACAGATTAGTTTGGAATTCTCTCGCTAGGAGGCATTTGTGTTTTTATGAATTTCGTGTAAATGCTGGGTTGACATCTCGAGAACTTTGCTGTATACGGAGTTGCTGTTTTCTGCAATGCTGTTCAGGAGATCAAGACCCTTTTAATTGTTGAAAGTCTAGTTAGGAGTTCTCTCGCTACGTAGCTCTAGTGATCTTATAAATGTCGTGTAATTGCTGGGTCTATGTCTCGAGATCCTTGCTGTTGTTGTTGTTGTTTTCTGCATTGTTGTTCAGAAGGTGAAGACCTTTTTAATTGTGGACAGTTTAGTTTGTAAATATCTCACTAGTAGCACTAGTTTCTTAGAAATTTCATGTAAATGCAAGGTCGACATCTCTAGATCCTTACTTGATACAAAGTTGCTGTTCTGAAATGTTATTCAAGAATTGTTGACAGTTTAGTTTGGATTTCACTCGGTATGTGGCACTGGTATTCCTATAAACTCCGTGTACATGCAGGGTCGACATCTCGAGATCCCTGCTAGATACAAAGTTGCTGTTTTCTGCAATGTTGTTCAGTGGGTGAAGGCCTTTTTAATCGTTGACAGTTTCTTTTTTATAATTTCGTTTCTGGGTCGATATTTGAAGATATTTGTTTGATACAACGCTGCTGTTTTCTGCAATTATGTTCAGGTAGCCAAGGCCTTTTGCATTGTGGTCAGCTTTGTACGAAATTCTATCGTTACGTTGCACTAGTGTTCCTATAAACTTCGTGTGCATGCAGGGTCGACCTCTCGAGATACCTGCTAGATACAACGTTGCTGTTTTCTGCAATGTTGTTCAGGAGGCTAAGGCAAGCGGCGCCTGTGGTGTAGTGGTAAGCGTGATTGCCTCTCACCCCTAAAGGGCTGGGTTCAATCCGGGATTTTCTGAGGCATAAAATCTACCATCACGCCATCCTTCGGAAGGGAAGTTAAACCGTTGGTTCATGAGTTACTGGGCCTCCCTGGTGTCGGTAGCATTGGTACTCAGTGCGGAAAACAAGATCGACGGAAAACAAACCAAGGAAATAAAAGGAGACTAAGGCCTATTGAATTGAGGACAATTTATTTTAGAATTATCTCGCTAGGTGACACTAGTGTTCTTATGAATTTCATCTAAATGCTGGGTCAATAGTTTGAGATCATTGATTTGTATCTAGATGCTGATTTATGTTGTTCAGAAGACCAAGGCCTTTTGAATTTTGAATAGCTTAGTTCGGACATATCTCGTGACACTAGTGTTATAATAAATTTTAAAATTTCTAACAATATCTTTTTAACAATATTTCATCATTTTTTTTAATCTTAAGCAAATCCAATGATACATCTGGTAAGGGTAATAAATTTAGATGTCACCTGTAGTACAATCAATCCATTTTATTGATCATATCGGAGCTTAGTAAGGCGGAAATAACTTTTTTTGTTTGCTGAATAAAGGCATTCATTGTTGAGAAATGAGTTGATGGGTCGATAGGTAGGGTCCAGGTGTGGGAACTGCCTCCCTAGCGTCGGTAGCATTGGTAATCAGTACGGAAAACATGATCGACGGAAAACAAATCATGGAGAAAAAAAAAAGCTGTAGCTTAGCTAATTTCTAGCAACTTTGTTTGAGAAAATTGTTTGTATTGGTTGACTATTTCCCACTTCTCAAAAAAGTTGTTAGGAGATAACTTTTTCAGCTTTATTGACGTTTTTATGATAAAAACACACCCTTTTTATATGGTGATATCGTTGGTTGGAGCAAATATAAAACACATATTTTGATGGCTTTTGAAAGGCCGTATAGTATTCTATATAATATCAAAAAATTGAGATATGTTATTATTTTAACTTCCACAAAATGGTCCAGTTGATTCAATTTTTTTTTTAATATAGCTTTGCATTACTTCTTTATCAAAAGAGATATAGGTGTTATTTTATATCAACATATAAAAAGGGCGTGTTTTTATAAGAAAAACGTCAATAACTCTTGATCGACAAAAGGTATTATCGACAAGTTCTGCGCGGTAAAAACTGCATATTCAAAAGTTCTAAAATTAATCTCCAGATATCTTTACTGAGAAATTAAAAACAAAACTGTGTTCTTAGGGACACCTCAAGTCAATTGAGGAAAATTGCTCTAAAATAGTAAATTCCATATGAAATTATTTAAGCTACAAATCGACCATTTCCGATTTTCATGTACAACAAATCATTATAACATCTGATAATCTCATATAATTACGAAGTCGAAGCAACATTGCCCAAAGGACGTTTCCCCATCCTAAAATAACCACAGTGCTCAATCTCCTATGTGACATTGAGTAATTTCTTCCTATTTGTCATCGAGGGTTCTCTGCCGCCACCACCGAAGCATGTTTTGATAAAACTCATTAATTTCCTCTTTTATTGTTTTCCGACCATTCATTGGGAGCGAAGCCTCCACCCCGAGAGATCTTTCCAAACTGATAAGATTCGGCGCGGCTCGGGGAGCAAAATCGAGTGCTTCTGGCATTTGTCGCACACTCACTGCGCAAACTACCAGTAAAGTCTTATGGGAGAAAGAGAAAGTCAAAAAAAAAAAAATACGGCATAGAAAACTAGAAAGAGATGTCATGGGGGGGGGTTGGGTGGAGTTGAAGAACGAACAGAAGAAAAGTGACATTGATTTGATTTCGCCTTCCCACCTACCTTGCCGGGGCTAGAGGCTAGGGCAGATGGGCGCTCGGGTTTAGCTTTGAGATTGGGGTCATTCATTGGGGGATACAAATGGTCTTGCTCTCTGTCTGTTTCTCGAACCGTAGTACACGGCATTGCGCCCAATTAATCACATAGAAGAATAAGAAGAAGAAGAAGAAGAAGAAGCAGAAGCAGTGGAGGGCTCGCTCGAGAAAGCTAATTGAATGTTTCACATGTACTAATTATGTCCGGAAATAGAGAATGAAATGCAACGAACCTGCGCTGGTTCACCTTTGGGAAATGAAAGTGAAACAGTTTTACGGAATTGAAACAACCACCCAAAGAATGTGATCAGGTTGGGGAAAATCCCACTCACCCACGTGCACACACACACACACACACATTCGATAAAAGTTGGATTGATATTGGGAAAAGGTTCGGTGGATGTAAAATTTGATGGTCCAATAAGCCGGGTTCGGAAATTGGTGGGATCTGAAAAGGAGCTTATGAAAAAAGAAACCCGGCCTTGGCGATGACGACCTTTCTGCGACATTGGAGCGTGCTCCGGTGACATTCCTTCACAAGGGTTCGGAATTTGGCTTCCTTCGAGATATGAGACGAAAAATCTGCTTCATGTTGTAAATGTTCAAGCGAAACGATCGTTAATTAGAATTAAGATCCCCTTCAAAAGAAAATTCTCATAAAATCTAAGTACATTTTTCGGTCCTTCTTTTCCATAAAATCCAGCCTCATGCAGGAGCCTTACCAGTGGATAACGACAGCTTCAGGGTGGTGACGAACGGCATCCAGCATCCTTCAACTGAATTGCTCTCGATTTTCCTCCTCACGATTCACCGTCATTATCACCATCACACGCAAACGCATTTCACCACCATTGCCGCCCTCGTGGCAGCCGTTTCTTCTCGCGAGGACGAGCCGATAGTAAGGTGTGCTACCGCATCCGATTCCGCCTCGCCGCCGCTGGGAAGACGTGCAAGATTCGGAGGAAACACAGAAAACCGGTCCGGTTCCGGTTGCACTTTGGGCTCTCCTGGATCCGGCGGCGGCCGCTGTTCAACATAGGGTCTGGCCAGAGTAACTCGCTCTGCCATGGAGGAACTGGAGTGGGAAATCTGCGCGGCTCGCAGAGCAAGAGTCGAAGAAGGTGAGTGGCAATCGGTCCCATTTCTCATTCATGATTATTCACGTATTTTGTAACAATCGTCCAACATACTGATTTTGAGCTGCCTGACTGAGATCCATTTAAGTATGCATCACATATACTTAAAATTAATTACGAGTCATATAACATCCCGAAAACAAACCATAACCAAACAAGACATTCCTTGGAAACTTAACTCATAAACATCACTCCCATAACGCACAGGCCAGGCAGCACATCCCTGGGAATCGTCGGGATGTGGTTTATGTCTCCAACCATCATCACCAAGTGAACCAAGTGATGTGGCGGCAACTAACAACCCCCAAACAAGTCACGACGAAAGTTTTCTCATCAATGTTGAGCGTTCAGTCTGCCACACACATTTCCAACTAATCTTCTATGTGTACGCTCTACCGAATAAGACGTAATTGTTGCAATAATGTTTCACCCTTTCCACTTTCCTCGGGCGACAAATGTTGGGCGAGATAAATACAAATCACTCGCACACGTGCAGGCAGAGGAAAAGCTCTCATTTCGGTCTTAATAATGTCACTTTAGCGCTGTTAAACTTTACGACTGTCATTTTGTCAGCCATGCATTGCAAGCAAGTTCCATCAGAATTGAAGCGAAAGTGGAAAAACAGAAATAATGAGACATGAAAGTGAAAATGGCAATTCTGCGAGCGCTCGGAAAATACAACAGGGCCAGTAGGAGTAGCTCCAAGATGGGGTCCGGATCGTTTATCGGTCTTATTTCATGCAACAAATGTGACAAGTAGCAATTGAAACCGACCAGTTCCAGACAAAATAAACAAACGGCTATTTTGTAAAAAATGGTAGCTGGATCAGAGATGCTAGATATTTAGTTCAGAAGTCTGCGAAAAATGTCTGTGAATTTCAAAAATGTCTGTAATTGGGCTGCATAAAATTAGCTGCATGAAATAGATGCGAAATTTGAAATGTCTGTAAAAGTCATGTTCGAGCAAAAAAGACCTGCTTTTAACGAATCGAACCTCATTGGAGTTGGGAATGCATTTATTTACGCCTTATACGTAAAAAGCAATAAATAAAAAAGATAAATTACGATTACACGACAAATGAGATTAATTCACTCATATTCTTGAAAACGTAGTTAACTAATAGACTGAGTAAAGCTTCCCGAGCTCTTACAGGAATTTGTTTTTTTTTGTAATATGAGCAACATCTCGATGTACATATTAATTTGTATACTTCTAGAATGATTAAATTTTTCGTCGATTTTTGTCACATTCGAAAAGATTTATGAGACCCGGAAATTTTTACTCAGTGTACAAGTAAACTATGTTTTCTAGAGTTAGCGTAATCTAAACTTAAGTTTGAGTCGATATATATGCCATATAGTGTGGGAATCCGTTAGTTATTTAGTACTGGTCCTTTTGCATGCCCCATCTTAGTGAGAGATTCAACTTTCCACCACCTAAATATGGAGAAATTAAAAGAGCAAATATAACAGCAGTTCCATTTCAAAGGACGATTTTTTTTTTAATATTTTGATAGGCCTTCTACGATTATGTTGAAACTTTGCACAGTTTTTTTTTATTGTCCAGCATGCCATTTTACATATTTGGTTCCCTAGTTTTGTACACGACTAACACTTGAAAAGGGCTTATGCAAAAATGATACGCATCAATAGAAAAAACATATATCTTGCGAACGATTTGTTTGATTGAGATGGTGTCTTCGAAGAAGTTGCGGACAAGTATTGTGCCTTTGAAGAAAAAATATACACTGTAAAAAATTATAATTTTTTTTACAAAAAAAAAATCAAAATTATCAAAAAAAAATTAAAATTACTCAAATTGCATATTGTTTTTAAAATATTTTTTTATATTTATTTTGTAATTTAGATAAAGTTATACCTACTGACACTGCGCATTTGCTGGGCAAATCATAAACAAAAAAGTTATGAATTATTGAAAAAATAAGTATTGTTTGCTGTTCACAGTTTTTCAATCATACGTACGTAATCAAGATATAATTAATTAGCTAAACTAGCTAAAAGCTAAGCTAAGCAAAATTTCGATTTTTTAAGATAAATTCGAGTCGTAATGAATATTAAGAAGTACCTGCCGATGTTATCCGATTTCATACACTATTCATCGACAATCTTGGATGTGGTAGAATTATCGAGCATTATGCTGATGAAGTGTTTAGTGTATTTTGTGATGTGAACTGTCACTTTTTTGAGCACCTGCTTCGGTGATTGTTCCATATTCAAACTCTGGAAGCAACGATATTTGCCCGGAGATTTGGCAACATAATTGATGGCCAAACGTGACCAAACTCAAGACCAAGGATGCCTGATATTGGGGAAGACTGTTGAGGTTGTAATGGAAATCAGTAATGACCTTGGAGATATCCGAGAATTCCCATTCGTGACATATGCCTTTACGTACTTCCTATAATGTGTGTAATGCGCTATACTATCACCTCAAAATTTCAAGAGCACAGCTGTCATAAAACATATAACAATGAAACTGGAACTTCACATTTGATGCAGCAGTTTCAACTTCATGAGTGATGTCACAACTGTGTCCGAAATTTGTGCTCTAGAACACTTGAAGTGATAGGGCATCTCAGTCATCATTTTGTGGACTCTTCAAGGAATCACCATAAATGATTTTTGAACATACGATTTTCGAACAGATTTATCAACCAACAATACTAAAGGGAGGATCAGCAAATTTGAAAAGACCTTATCTTGCAAACTAAAGCACTGCTACGCAAACCAATAGGAGAGAATTTTCCCTAGCCGACGGTGTTGTTGATTTGGCAAGGCGAGCTTCGATTTGCGAGAAAAGAGCATTACAAGATTTGATTACAAAAGCTGATCCGCCTTTTTGAATTGTTGGTTGAAATTTCACGACGTTCTTTTCTTATAAACAAACGACTGTCATCGTTACCTGTCATGATACTTATAGCGAGGTGACCAGATATAAGAGATGTGACCGATAAAAATCGATATTATTTGTTTTTAGAGATTTAAGCACGATTATATCGGATGAATCCGATAAAATGGATTTCTCCGACGATAAATCAATAAATCAAACTTAAGAGTAATTTTTAGTAAAATTTGAATAAATCTGGGACTTTGTTCCCCTTCGGTTTCATTCACTTTTTCAGTGAAAGTGACTATAGACAGTCAAGTTATAGACCCGCCAACATGAGTTGACGTATTCAAACAAACCGTCAAATCGTATGGAAAATGTTCGTTTTGGATACAACAACATGGCAGCACATTGACAGGTCTATAACTATGTCCGTCTGTAACAGTGACAGCTCGTTTGCGTGGTGGATTTGAAAACGCGCGAATTTCTAATGCGTGTTGCAAAATGCATCGAAAGTGTAATTTGATTAATAAATTTTAAAATTTTACCTTGATTACAAATGTCTGTGAATATCTGTGAAAAAACTAAAAAGTCTGTTAATGTCTGTAAATAAAAAAAAAATGTTTGTGAAAAAAAATAGAAGTCTGTAAATTCACAGACATGTCTGTAAATCTGGCATCTCTCGTTTAGATCCTTGTCGCATAATATTGGACCTGTATTTTTTTTATTTTTTTATTAGGGTGACCATTTCCATGTTAGGGTGGTCCAAAGTATGACTGTTTTCAAAAAATCATAGCTCTTGAACGACTGGGCCGATTTCAAAAACCAAAATATCAAATGAGAGGTAATTACTTGTTAAAATCTAATGATGCTAAAACATTGTTTGTATTTGTTTTTTTTTTTATGGTTTTCATGATTTGTAGACAGAGGGCGCAATATGCTTTTATATTTTTCTTTGAAAATTTAGGCTTTTTTTGAACAATATATAAAAAAATCAGCGATGTGTTTTTTTAGGATTTGAGTTATATATTTTTTAAGCTAAGGGGAATGGCTCTAATGTTGGCCTATGGATCTAAGATTGGGTCCATCGCTAAAAATCTGCTATTAATCAATTTGTTCTAGATAAACGCGTCATTGGGACGGTACTAATGGATATTTTTTGACCGCTATTAAAAATTTAGTCGATGGCTGCATTTATGTATTGGCCGTAATTAGGGGCATTTGGGCCGACATTCCATCCATTTCCCCTATCAAGTTTTGGGTTTTTACTGAAAATCTCGATAATAATGACAAAAACACAGAATTTTCTAGATCCTAGATAATAAAAAAAAAAAAGTCCCTGGAAAATTTGTAGGGTTCTAACAGTTCAACAAAATTTTCCATGTTTTTTTTAGAATGCCTAGAGTTAGTTGATGAGAGTTCAAACAAAAATGAAGTGTTAAGGAGGATGCGAAATTTTAAGGAGTTCTTACCAGAATTCCAAGATAATTCTGACATTAAGTCCTAAGGAATTCTTGCACAAACTCCAATGGATTTCTGGAGAGAAGAAAAAATAGTTCTGGATAGAATTCCTAGGTTATTCTTAAAAGAATTTGAAGGGAGTTATGACGAAAAAACTTCAAGGATAATTGCTAGTTGATCATTGGCGTAGCCTTAGAATTATCTAGGGCCCCCGAAGCTTTTGGTGTTTTTTTTTGACTCACCGGTATTTTGTCAAGCTTGTCAAATTCGATGTTACTTTTAACAGCGATTCATAAAATTGGACCACAATCAACGATTTTTTTTAAATCCTTTATGTTAACTACTTTTCTTATGTTCTGGACTAAAAGAAACAATTTTAAGAAATTATATTATATCGATATTTAATGGATGGCATATTAAGACGTCTTCAGGCTCTACAAATTGGCCATGAGACCAAGGATTTTTCTTTAACTTCTGAGAACTTCGTTAAACTTCAAGGGCTTCTAAGAAGTTCAGGAAACATCGTAACATTAAGGAAACTTAGTAGAAATTCAGGGTAATTCATAGATCTTCAGAAAAAATCGTAGAAACAAGGATCTTGGAAAAGTTCTTAAAACTGCGTAGAAGTGGAAAATTTATCAAACTTAAAGGAGCTTCGTAGAAGTCAAGGGAACAT